TCTTTCCCTCTCATATCCTCTTGCTCGTTTATTTTTCTCCCTTCTTTCAATGATTCTTCCATTAATTTTCTTCTCTTTATTACCTTCTCCCACACCATATCCTTTCATTATTTTCTCTTCATTTTCTGACATGGGCCTTCATTTCTTGTATTTGTGTTTGTCAAACTTAACGTTGCTTCAACTCACTTTGCACACACCATGTTCTTTATTCTTTCATTTTTTTTTCTTTTAGTCAATTAGATGGAAACATGTTTTTATTGTTTTATTTAAAAATAATAAAATGAAAACATGTTCCCATGTTATTATTGAAAAGGTTTTATTACAATCCTCGCTACATACAAGTGTTTATTGTCTCTCTAAACTACAAAAATGTAGCTTTGTCCCAAAGGCTACTTAATCCAAGAAAACTTACTTACACAAAGTGCAAAAAAATACTCACAAGAGTGAACTTATAGTTTGAAGCAATACAACACTTGAGGATAAACAAATATTAAAAATGTGTTTTTGATCATCCAACAAAAAGCTTTTTTACAAAGAAAATGTATATAGAGCGTTAAAGATTTTTTTAGCATTACTTCTTCAAAACTTTATATAAATGATGGTGAGAGATCTGTTAAAAGAGCGAGTTTTCTTCCCATTTTGAAATGCATTAAATGCATGGATATCTTCAGATTACAACAAGGAAAGAGAAATTGACACAATAGTCAAAAGTGATAATTTTGTACCTAAAAGGTATTTTATTTTTGACTCAATAGAAATATGTTTATGTGTTGCTTAATTTTTAGCTTACTTTCCTCAATCCATAGGATGTATTTGATCAAAGTGCTTTGTGGTTGGCAAGACCCATTTTTATCAAGAAAGGAATAGATATTCCAATGATATGTTATGCAAAATAGGATATATTTCAAATCTTTCATGTTTGATACTATGTAGTTGCATTCTTTTCAAATGAAAGTATGTTAATAGATAAGAAGTTACACTTATTGCATAGATACAACTTCTTATCCCAATTATTTTGTAAAAAAAGTTATAGACAATTTTATCTTAAAAATTCGTTGGACACTTGTAGAGAAACATAGTTTATTGGATACTTCAACAACACAAAGTTAAAAAGGTTTTGGATGCTTGTTTGTCCAAAGAACATGTAGTTTCAAATAGAAAATTTTTTTACAAAGCTTTTGTCTCGTAATCTTAATATGTTTAGTTATCATCAAAATACTTTAAGATTTTGATTCTAACACGTTTTTGAGCACATTCTCTCTAATTGGTTAAAATTTATTGAAAATCATGAAAATTGATGGATCTTACACCTTGTTTTATGACCCTTTTTCTTGAATTTTTAGTTCTCAATGATATTTAGTGTGTTAGGAGGAGCGTTTCATAGATTGTGTTGGTAACGCTCCAATTTTTCTTCTTAAGATGATTTTAAGTATTTTAATACATCCACTAAAGGTTGTCTTCCCATGTTCAAAGCACTAAAGGTTTTGATGTGCACTAACCTTTAGTCCTACATTGATTATGTTCCCAAATTGCAAATTCTTGCTAAAACAAACAAATTTGTGTTGTAATTGAATTTAATAAACCATGTCCCACATAGATTGTGTAAAAAAAAATTAAGGAGTTGTTATCTTGTACAAATATGAAAGTTTTTTTTTTACCTGACCCTTTAGTCTCACATCAATTGGTTGCATTCTAAATTGAAGAGCTCTTCCTTTTTTTAATTTTTTTATTATTTTTATAAAACAATTGAATTTTTTAGATGTTTATTACAATGAACCTTAAGTCCCACATTTGTTATTAGACTAACTTGAAAATCTCTTTTTCTTCTTATAGTTTATTAGACACTTCAAGAAAACAAAGATATAAAAGTTTTGGATGCTTTGTCCAAAACATAGTTTTAAAGAGAAAACTCTTTCACAAAACTTTTGTCTCATGATTTTAATGTGTTTAGATATCATCAATGCAATATCCCAAGCGTGGATACTTTAAGACTTTGTTGCAACCCTTTTTTTTACATATTCTTTTTTATTGGTTGAAGTTTATTAAAAACCTAAAATTTTAGTTTTCAATGAATTTTATTGTGTTAAGGGTAGTGTGTCGTAGAGTTTTCACATTGAAAGCACAAGAGATATTGATGTCTAACCTTTAGTCCCACATTGGTTGTGTTCCCAAAATTTAAAGCACTTATCTTTTTATAAAGCAGATGAACTTGTGCTGTAATTAACTTTGATAAATCATGTCTCACATTGATTGTGTAAGTAACAAATTAAAGAGTTGTTATCATGCATATAAATGAATGGTTTTTTCCTTGGACCCTTTTTAGTTTTTTCCTTTTTATTATAAATAGGTTTCATGATGTTATTACTCAAATAGGCTGGTTTTGTTTTTGTTAACTATGAGAAAATGTGTGCTTAAACAAAAACATGTATGCATTAAATTTTAGGAGGTATTTAGCAAAAGAAAACTTAAGAATCATGATTCTTGAAAATAATTAAATTTTGTTTAGTTGATCAAGAGCATGATATTTTTATATAAAACTTTTCTTTTAATTCAAGAGTGTTAGATTTTTTTTTCCTTTTTAGGGAATAATTTTGTGCAAAAGTTGTATAAAAATCAATTCTAGAAAATTATGTATACTAGAAATGTTATTTTAAATAATAAACCAAACATATGAAACTATTCCCAAATTCTCGAAAAACAAATTCTGTGAACTAAATACCTCTTTAGTTTACTCTCAAAAAATAATCATTTTTACTAGCTTTTCAGAAGGAGTTTTTGTAAAATTAAAATAAGTATTTTTCAAAAATTAATTTGAAATATACAAATCAAAATGTGCTCAATTAATCGAGATTGAAGATAAAATAGGAATCTAGATAAAATGGTAAAATGTATTAACATATTGGAAGCTATTGACAGTATTGTAAGAGTTTTTTTATACATGAATATAACATATAATTTTTACAGATTGGTGATAGAAAATTATGGAGAAAATATTTTAACACTTGGAAAAATAATAAAATAATATTTATTTAAAACTAGTCCAAAGTACATATTCAAAATTTTAAAGGTGTAAAATGAAAATATCACAAAGAAATAACAATGATCACTCCTTTAAAAACTAAGATCAATAATTATAGCAAATCATTTATAATAAACTACATTAGTTGTTAATATATTTAAATTATGTTTGTCATAAATTCATGTATCACATAGATATTATAAACAACTATATAGTCGACTTAATGCTAAATTGGAATAGTACATCCGAGGTGATAAATTGTAACTTATGTGCAACATTTGTATACGAAGAAGAAAAAAAAACAAATATTATACGTATTGAATATTACTTGATATATTATAAGTAATTTACTTGCATGACGTGTGTAAAAAGTGTATCTATAATTAACTTTCCAACTCAATTTCATGCCACACCTTAAATGGATCACATTGAACTGTGTTGTGAGTAGACTCATAAGTCACAACGCATGCCACATGATTCACATGGACATTGCCCAAGTGTAGTGTGATGGATTTGCTATTTTGAGAACGAATGTGTTGCCCAAAATTCTGTTCAATATTTCCGCACTGTCCTTTTGTAGCAGAAAAAAACTGAGTTGTTACGACTTTACATAACAGTTAGGACTAAGAGAAACCATTGGCTATGAGAGTTACTCGGAACCGCAAAATTAGCACTCCTAAATTTTAGTCCCTTCAAAAGTCACTGTGAAAACAAAGCACCCTCTCATTTAGTTTCTGCATCTAGATTCTGTTACCACCTTCCAAACCAACCTCCACCACCCTTCACCGTATAGTTTCCGATTTCCCACCGCCAGCCGCCGCCACCACCACCACCATAAATACTTCCTACTTAATTATTACTCTCTTTTCTTTCTCTCTTCTATCTTCTCAACCTCAAACCCTAAACATAACAATTTCCCTTTAATACATAGTAACATTTTTTTTTATTGTATAGTTTATTTCGAACTTAGGAGCTGTATCATATATATAAACACACCCCATTTCATTATATATACTCTTTTTTTTTTCTCGTAATAAGATACATGCATGCATGCATAGATTGATATCTACCTCGTGGACGTAAGTTTGGCCTATGGAGAGAAAATTGAAGGAAGCACATATCAAGAGGGAGAAGTTGAACAAATTTGTTTAGCTTGCTACTTTAGGAAGGAATTTGGAGCTTGATGGAGGGTATGTCAAGCGCAAATGATCATGCAACCAATGGTGAAAGTGGGTTGCTAACAATGTTTGGTGGCAATGGTGGCGGTGGCAGTGACAACGGTGGCGGCGGTGAGGGTGGTGGCAATGCTGAGGAGATGACTCTGAAGAAGGGTCCTTGGACAACCGCTGAGGATGCTATTCTCATAGATTATGTGACAAAGCATGGTGAAGGGAATTGGAATGCATTGCAAAGGAACACAGGGTTGAATAGATGTGGGAAGAGTTGTAGGCTCAGGTGGGCCAATCATTTGAGGCCCAATTTGAAGAAGGGTGCCTTCTCCCCTGAGGAAGAGAAACTCATTGTTGAACTTCATTCACAATTTGGCAACAAATGGGCTCGAATGGCTGCTTTGGTATGCATTTCCCACACAACCAACCACATTTTTGTTTCTATAAATGTAACTAATTAATCAAAAACTCAAGATAAATTATCTTAAAGGTCTAAGACGTTTTTTTTAATCGCTTGCAAATATGGCCAATTTTATTTTTACTCTTTCGAAAAGAAAAAAAAATTGCTAATTTTGATTCTTGTAAAATTTACAAGTTTTTGAAAATGAATTATATGACTTTACTAATAATGTGACATGTATGTTAGAGTGGTTGCTGGTGTAACATATTCAAATATATATCACCTCATTACTTGATTATAGAGATTATATTTTTTAGGATGATGTTTTTTGAACACCCAAATAATGTAACACTTCGTTGATATTCTTAATTTGTATCTATCTTTGTCTTTCTATCGCACATGTTATTAATCATTTATGTCTCATCTCTTCCTATCTTCTTCAAGATGTAGATACACGTTGGGTGTTCAACCATCTTTTTCCTTTTTCTTAATTGCATTTTTTTTTCCTTTACAATGACTTGAAATGTGAATGCACTTACTCTTTTTTTTTTTTTTTCATGGCATATCATGTCATATAATATGATGCATGCTCAAATTTTGTGGCTATCTCTTTCATAACATATGTTGACAAAAGATACACACAAAACATAATTACATCATGCATGTTACAAATTAACATGAGAACTCATTTGTGTTCAGATTTTGAACCCTGGTTTCTTTTGATGTTGTTTTATGACCTAGTTGCCTGGGAGAACCGACAATGAAATCAAGAACTATTGGAACACAAGAATCAAGCGACGCCAAAGGCAAGGTCTCCCTCTCTATTCAGATGACCATGATCACCATCGTTCCACAACACCAACCACTACCCCAATGCTCACCCCAACAGACTTAAACCCTAACAACACTAGCACAAACTATGAGTTTTTCAACCAACACCACCAATACCAACACCAACAACACCCTTTATCTCCAACTACACACCACCATTCCCCTCTAACATCACCCCTCCAACACAGACCCTTCAACTCTTCTTCCCCTCACACATTCTTAGACCGTTCACCTCTTCCACTCTCTTCCTTCACCTTCCAAAGACCAGCACCAATGTTATGCACCCCTCTTCGCTTCAAGCGCTATCGAGCCTCTCCAAATAGCTACAACTTCATCAACCCTTCTTCTTCTTCACTCCCTGATGACTCTCATGTGGCCACCCAATTCCCCCACCTTGATGGATTCAAGTTTCCTACAGTTCAAGGCTTTTCTCAATTTTTTCAACCCTCTTTGTTTGACACCGATCAAGGGGTTTCTTCTTCCTCCTCAGTTTTCCAACCCAAGTTGGAGCTCCCTTCAAACCAGTTCTATAAACCACCCCAAGAGCAAGAGCTTAAGCTTGACCTTGATTTCAATGATCCTTCCTTTCAGAGCAGTAGTGGCTTGTTGGGGGATCTTCTCTTGGAGGCTCAATCACTAGCTTCAGGCCATAACTCGAAGAAACGAGGTTACTTGAGTTTGAATGAGGGAAATGATGTGTTTGATGCATGCCAAAGCTTTGAGGACTTTCCACCCGACTCTCTTTTCTGGTCTTCCACCTCTACTTCGAATTCAGGTTGGTTTCTTGACAAATAGTTAATTAATTATATTATGTTTGAATGCAAATTTAAAAGATCTTTGAGACTTTTTTACCAGAAAAGCTCTTAAAAGTTCTTATTTGTATCTAAACATACTCTCAATTACTTTGTGTATCATCACTTCATTTTGTTTAATTGTTGTTATTTGATTTACTCAAGCTTGTTTACATGATTCACACAAATTGACAAAATTTAGATATTGGCTCTTAATTAAGTAATTTTAGTATTATTCTTCATCAGATATGAAATTTTATTTGGTTTACTCCCTTTAATAACGATGTGAATTAAAGGTTAAAATAAGATATCCAGATGCATAGAATTTCAATGCTGATTAGAAAAGAGTGCTAGATTGAGCATCTAAGAAATTATATCCAAGTTTTGTTCTACTTGTTTTTTGTGTGCGTGTGGGAATGAATCATCTCATGTCCATGACAAGTCATTTCTAAATTTGGTTATGATATCAATTAACAAATATCGAATATGTTTGCATTGATTTTGGCTTTTCGTTTTCTTTCGGTCTCAACAATGCTTTTCTACCTTTTATGTGTTGTGTGATGTCATAAATTGACTTTAATTTGACCTGCTAAGTTTAATTTTAGAACCTGACATTATAAAAAAAATTGTCATATAATGACACACGCCCTATAGTGATACAATACGTATCATTAAAAATTACTTTTACCCACACTATAAATATAATATATATTGGTATATTGTTAAAAAGTGTAGGTATAGACTATAGTGACACACAAAATATATTGTTAAATCTTATTCAAAATCAACATTAAAATTGAATGTAGCTATATGTTAAATAAGTATATATTTACATATATTATACTTATAGTAACACTTTTTGTATATCACTATATGAAATATTTTTTGTAGTGCGAGTCGAAGTATATCCTAAAATTAGAATGAAGTTGGTTGTACTTCTCTATTCTTTATTAGTTAGTATGCTTAAAAAAAACTCGGTTTTCAGCCAATTTTGTTGGATCTTGTTAATCAAGGAATATACCTCGAGTCTTTGCTAGTTGTAACAACAGGTAATTTCTTTTTGCATAATGATTATTAATTTCTCATATGACTTTTCTTAATATTTTCGTTAAAACAAGAATAACAATTTGTATGCTATTTCATTTCGAGTGCACGTTGTGTTCATCATGATCATTCATAGGGTAGAATATATTTTATTAACTGTCTGTTTAGATACAAATTAGAAGTGTTTTTAAAAAAAAATTATTAAAAATAAAGAGTATTTTTGTGTGAAAAAAATTTAAAAAAACATTTCTAATCTTGTATTTAAACAGACTTGAACTACACTACAAATTTTGATAATTTTATCATTGATTACATGATGCAGTACCAAAACTAAAGGACGAAGCACCAGACCTTAGCAAATTCACGAATGAGGACTTGTCATCATTGCTTACAGTAATTCCATCTTCCAATATGCAGGGTCATGAGTGGCACAATAATAATAGTGCCCCAGAAGGGTCCAACGTTCATTCCTCTGGTAGTGGCATGACAGATGACAACTTTGGACTTGATATCAAACCCATAGCTTCGTTGTTTCCTCTCACCAACACCACAAACCATAATGAAAACCAAGGATGCTACTCTTGGGACAATTTACCTGGTCTCTGCTAAGGTTGATCCAGATTGAAATGGCTTGAAAGTTGTGTATACCAAGATAATTTTGGAAGCAATTTATAATGTTAATGAAGTTTCGTGTTTGATGCAAATTATATCTATTGTTGTTTGAAAAAGTAGAGTGGTCATTAATTTTGTCAATATATATAACTTGGGATGTATTTGGTATGAGTTTATACAAATTATTATTACATAGTTAATGATATGTTGGGCTTATACATAAAGTAATTAAATCAAATTAAACCTAAATATAAATCAAATTATATTTAAAAACTAAATATAAATTGGTATGATGCAAAATTAACTTAATTTATACTTTTGTTTTATCATATGTACAACCCCTAGTCGTTTTATATATGATATCAACATAACTTGACATGATAGATAATTAAGTCCTTATACATAATGATAAGATTTGACTTTGGACTAAATGGAAGGAATGTAAAACATCTTTGTTTAATAAAGAAAAAATTATTTTGATAATTTTTATTTGTTTATCATAAAACAGAAAGTTATCAGCTAATCCTCAAAGTATGAAAATTCATTTATAATATTAAATTCTCTAAAACTATTTTTTTTTACTAATTAATAAACATATTTATCTATCAAATCACATTATAAATTTGTTTAAAAACTTTTCTAGTGAAAGATTCCTTTTATTTTCAGTAAAGAAATTTGCAAAAACAATTCTAACTTTTATCAAAATAAACTCCATATTAGTATTTTTTTATTTATAAACATAATTCACGCAATGTTTCAAAATTAATAATTAAAAACTAATTTATATTTGTTAGACGTGACTTTCATTGTCTAAATATTATTTTAACACAGATGATAATTAAACCTGGAGCACTATACTAGATACTATAATATACTTCTCGAAGACATTAATGTTTTAAAAGATACCCTTCATCCATGAAATAAAAAATAAAAATAAAAATATGCAATATGCTTGACCATGTATGTTTTGCTCACGTTCTTTATGCATGCAATTGTTACTTATAGTTATTATTAGTTTAAAATTTGCTCCAATTAACGTGTGCCCACTACCCATGTAATTAGTTTCAAAGAAAACTTATTAATTATTGTATTCATGTATAATGAGTTGTTATATATCCTTTTTTAATAATTTTGAATCATCCTACACTATCTTCTTACTCATTAGATGATGAAGAAAGTATTAAAAATGGTTATATTTTTAAAATATTAAATATATTTACTTTTCATTTAATCGATCATTTTCTTTAAGTATCACGAGGCATTTTGTGTGCGCATCTGTGTGAGATAAATTTTATTCTAGTAGAGATTATCTTAAATCTGAGTTTGTAAATGGGGTTGATCAACATAGCAATCATGCAAAGAGTCAAAGTTATTTTATTAATGAATGTGTACATGTCTTAAATGCAAGTTGTTGGTATGAAATACAATTAGCCGTGATATCGGCTAATTAACACCGATCGATTATCACATTATGTGATTGTTTAAAGGAAGGAATCTTGTTCTTTGATTAGGTCCTTGTTTACTCTAATTAAGCTCTCCAAAAGTTGTATACTTATGTTTCTATATTAAGCTACTTATTATAAAAATTGCGACATAGAAAAAGTTGTAATCAGCTAATGAAAAATGCTTGAGAATAAAATAAAACTATAAATTTGGACAAAGAAGATAAATGATGTATAGATTTTAGTCGATGACCCAAGTTACACTGTTTTCCTCCCTATTTAACGGGCTTCTAATGGTTACAAGTCAATAGTCATTCTCTATAATCCCTTTCCCTATATTTTGGAGTGATTCGAGTTTACTTTAGGCAACTAGCTTAAAGCAACTTAAATCAGAAGTTCAACTTAATTAAATGTTATTAAAGAGATTGAATTTAATACATTTGACATTTTCATGAATGGAAAACTATAAATAGATATTTTACAAAATAAATATTTTGTAATCATAAAAACTAATAACATATTTAAATAAAATAGTTCTAACTTATTTTTTTTTTTTATGAAATCACTTATATTTTTACAAGAAATAATCTTAATTGAATTGATATGATTAGTAAAAATTGTTGGGAGAGTAATTCAAATTTCAAAAATAAATGAAACAAATAAAAAATCAATAGGTGTTATTTTAGGAATCCGTAATATTTAGAATGTTATTTAAATTTATAAATTTTACCAATTTTTTAATTAATTTATTTCCTTTAAAATTAATGGATGATATATTTGAATTTTGTATTACATTTTAGCTCTATATACAGAACTAAGAAATAAAAATTCTATTATGTGTCTCATTTGAAATCATGGACATGTGGGTAATTTTATTGCATAAAGAAGAGTTTTTCCAACAATGACATCATAGTTATTGTAGAAAACACACAAAAGTTTGAGATCGTGTTAATTGATATGGTAGAAAAAACTTTATGATTTGACAGTGCATCATTCAAGATTATTTAGTGGAACAAGGTCTTAATCAGGTTTTGAAAGATGGAAAGTCAATTACTATCAATGAAAGAGAATGCATTAAAATCTAATAGAATGTTGCAAGCACAATTCAAATTAGTTCTTACTCCCATGATCAACTGAAATGTGTTCAAGGAAACAACATTAAAAACCTTATGCATATAAGTTACTCACTAATCGTCTATATTTAAAGGTGGAGTAGTATCAACTCAAAATGGAGATGTGAGAAAATATTCATGATCACATTAATAATTTCAAGAAGTCAATATGTTAATTATTAAATGCAAATGAAAAACATATCCAATGACGAGTAAACAATGTTGTTTTTAGCTTCACTACCAAGATTTTATAAATATTTAGTTTAGACGTTGCTTGCCAAGAGGACATTGTTGAAGTTGGATGATGCAACCACAACTCTAAAATGAGAGAATGATTAAAAGTGAAAACATTGATATTGAAGGTCATGTAATGGTTGTGCAACAATGTTAGTTCAAAGGATGAATTGATATCCCTCAAAATTATTAATGTTTTGATTATACCATAACAAATATTCTTGAATCATTTGACAGTTTATTAATATATCATATGTGCAAAATACCATCTGAAGGTATCTTCTGATTGGATAAAACTCATCAAATTGTATATATATATTCTATTTTAAGTGAACTAACATAGTAACATTGTTATCGTCTGAATGTTTTTTGTAGTAACAATGAGGAATATCCTTGGGATTGATAAAGTGAGTGAATATTTGATCTTCTCATTGTTTGGAGGCTTTACTTACCATAAGGGTAAAATTTGTCCACCTTACTCTACAAAGCCTGCTCCTCTGCTATTGTGTTGTGCCCACTGAATTTGGAAAAAATTCTTTCAACTAAAGACAAAAGCTATTAAGACTTTTTGCAATCGTATAGGACGAGACCTAGTAAGGAGGAGCATTTAATGCAACTATTGGGTGCTCAAGCATATACACTTAAAACACACTCCTTTAGACGAAGAGCTAATGTAAAAGAAATAGTAGGTGAAGTTTAAAGACGTTAAGTTCCAACAGTCATCTATCCCAAAGGGTGATATATATCAGAGAACATCCTAAAGTGAAGATGTCATTGAATAACTAAATAATAACTCAATATTTTTATATATTTATAAACTCTCTATATTTGCACAATACTTTGTAATATTAGTCTTTGAAGAAAACAATATCTTGTAAACATTTTATCTTATACTTTTGGAAAGCCTAAATAAGCTTTGTTGCTAAAGAATATTAGGATGTTTAAAGTTCAGAGAAACTGTGTAAAAGAATATATGAAGTGAAATTGAATAATTATTACTAAAAAATACTTAGTTGATTGCAATAATTAAATGACTTTTTGAAAGAATACTTGTTTATAAGTAAACCAATTATAGTGGAACTTAATCTGTTGATAAAGAATTGGACATGGTTTAGTCTTTGAAGAAGACAATATCTTTTTTATATATTTATAAACTCTCTATATTTGCACAATACTTTGTAATATTAGTCTTTGAAGAAGACAATATCTTGTAAACATTTTATCTTATTCTTTTGGGAAGCCTAAATAAGCTTTGTTGCTAAAGAATATTAGGATGTTTAAAGTTCAGAGAAACTGTGTAAAAGAATATATGAAGTGGAATTGAATAATTATTACTAAAAAATACTTAGTTGATTGCATGACTTTTTGAAAGAATACTTGTTTATAAGTAAACCAATTATAGTGGAACTTAATCCGTTGATAAAGAATTGGACATGGTTTAGTCTTTGAAGAAGACAATATATTTTTTATATATTTATAAACTCTCTATATTTGCACAATACTTTGTAATATTAGTCTTTGAAGAAGACAATATCTTTTAAACATTTTATCTTATTCTTTTGGGAAGCCTAAATAAGCTTTGTTGCTAAAGAATACTAGGGTGTTTAAAGTTCGGAGAAACTGTGTAAAAGAATATATGAAGTGGAATTGAATAATAATTACTAAAAAATACTAGTTGATTGCAATAATTAAATGACTTTTTGAAAGAATACTTGTTTATAAGTAAACCAATTATAGTGGAACTTAATCCGTTGATAAAGAATTGGACATGGTTAGAAGTGAAAACAAATCAATATAAAAATATTTGTGTAGATTTTTCACTCTTGATCTCTTTGTGTTTTATATTTCTTTGGTATCATCTAGCTAATTCGTTTATTTGGTTGTTTAAGTTGGAGAAAAAGTTTTTGACACTTTTTAATCTCCTTTTTAGTGTTCCTTTTTCTTTCCTTACTAACAGTCTAAACAAAGCACTCATAAAGATAAGATGAATCGATAGGAAGACCCAATTTTCAATCACTTTTAAAACAACATATGAGTAGTGTTACTATTTTTGGAAGAAATATCATATGTAAACAATGTGTAAGAAAATGAGAGGACCATAAAAAATTAAGAGTTACGAGGAGAGAAGATGACACCTCCCAAACTAATATGACCCAAAACTTTGATGATGAAGATGTGTATTTAAGAAATTATTTAAATTTAAAAAATTTATCAATTCGTTTTAATATATCTTACAAATTTTTTTTCTTTCTAAAATTAGGATGATGATATATTTAAATTTTGTATTATAGTTGTTTAAGTCTATATATAAAGTCAAATAACCTAGATCCTAAATTCTAAGATTTTAAGTGTATAGATAATTCTAACGTGTGAATAAGAATTT